TCTATCTGTACATATATAGACACACACACCACTCTGTACATATCTCTATATAGGTACCATATACATGTGTGTGTTTAAGTTTAATTAAGTGTATATACATATTTTTATTATGTTTACATAGTGGGGTCTGTATATATCTACTTTTGTAGGAAACTATAGTAATGTGTGTAAGCTGGTTGCCTTAAACAATATATGTTGTTGGCTTATCCAAACTGAACAAACCCGGCAGCCCTCGAAGCCTTAGCTTTATACATGCGGACCCCGTAGCCCCAGCTTTCTTAACACTGCTACACAAGGCAATATCCAAACTCGAAGCCCCGCAATCTACCTAGATCCCTCCGAGCCGAACACAACCTCGTTTGAGGACTCACTTCGAAGCCCAAACCTTCCAAACAGAAATCTCCCCCAATCCTTGCATTCCAACCAGGAAGAATTTGTATGACGGCGAGTGGGAATACTGGGTCAAGGTTCGCGAGCACGGCAAGCGACGACGAGCCGTGTCGTACGAGGAGAATTATAAGAAATCCAAAGAGGCCCGGTTGAAAACAGCCCAGAACTTCAGTAGAAGCCGCTCTTGCCAAGCCTCTCGCGATGCATCTGTTCAGGTCGACGAGGAGCCTGATGACATGGCTGCCATCGAGAAGGGTCTGGGCAGCTTCAACATGGATTTGGATGACAAGGAGGATAAGCCTTCGGCTGCCGAAGCGCCAAACCCTGCAAGCCACAAGTTTGACCAGGCACCCCTTAATTGTCGTCAGTGTATATAAAGCAGCTACACTTTGCAATTGTGATATCCTGCTTGGCTGCAGTCCAAAGACACTTTGGAGAAGTTCACCAATTCTGTCATGACAAAGATTGGCAAGTTGCGGTCGCTCGTGAAAGACCTTCAGAAAAATTTCCCGAACAGTGCGGACGCCAAGCAGCCCCTGGTCATGACTTGAAGACCACATCGTTTCAGAAGGTAACAAACTCTAGAGCAACAGCGATCCCAAAGCCCCAGTAACCCTGGCAACCAAGGTCCATCGGAGTGCTCGACACTGCTATCAAGGCTGTCGAAGGACAATATGATCTTTGCAATGAACTCAAAACGCAAGTGAACATGCTGGGTATGTCCGAAGCGCCCGCCGGCTTCAAAATAGTTCTCTGTTATATGCCCAATGGTCTGCCCGAATCACCCAGGTCACCCAGAGATTTATCCTAGATCAAGGGTTCGCACCTGCATATAATCGATCTAAATCGCATATGAGCCCTTATAGCCCTTAAGCCCCTAAGCACCCTAGATAATCCTAAACTATGTAGATGCAGTCCTGACACGGAGCCCAGGCTGTACAACAAGGTGGAGGATCGCATGAAGCAGGCCACGCTCGTGTCCCTCGGCTTCACAAGTGTGCAGACACCAACACAAGACCGTACAAGACCCACGATCCTTAAGGTGTAGTCGTGCTGCATCTTCCGAAGCGAAGATCCGGACTGTTCCGTTTTTTGCTATGCGATGTTGCAGTTGCACCGGTTTCGACAAACCCTTTGCGACTGAACCTCTTCGGCAGGACGGCCCGGAAAAGCTACCTCAAGCAAGCGCCCGCGGATCCGAAGCAGAAGCCCAACAAGTCCCCCAAGACTGACACTCCGTCTGCAAAGAAGGCGGCCAAAGCAAAGGCCAAGACTTCAAAGTAGTCGAGGGTTTAGGTGTCTGCGCCAAGACGTGTGCTGTTCTCCAGGGCAGTGGCAATCGCCACTGCTTTTCTGGTTTGCAATTCAGATTTCTTTGCAATCTAACATGCGAAGCTGCAGCAGGGAGCCGTGGGGAAAAGTCAAGTTGTGCAGGTCACGACATGGCCCAGCCAATCAAATCCGAAAGCTTAAGCATAAGTCGAAGCTTCGTTGCCACGCCAGGTCCCAGTTCGTCTAGCCATACAATTCGCGGGCTCAGCCACGACATTGGCGAGGGGGCCCGAAGCTCAAAGTGCAGGCTGCATCTCTGAGGAAAGTGTTTGGGTGCTTGGCATGCCTGTCTCTGAAAATGAATACATCATTGACGATCCATCCGAAGCCTCTTCGTATTCGTATTGAGTAGAAAACCCTTAGAGGATTTTCCTTGGATGTCGTTGGTTTCTGTCGGCAATGGATGCTGCAGATGAAACAGAAAGCCCCGAAGATGAACTTTGGGATCTCTTTACGAGCCATCGTGATGATGCCACTCCTGCATTATTCTTTACACCTTCGCTTTGCTGTCAGACTGTTCCAGTTCATGCTTTGTGGCCAACATCAAACTTAGGACAGCGTCGCTCCATTCCCGTGGGACAGGTCGGTCTCGAACCCTGGTGTTTGCGGCAGACCAGTAAGCTGTAGCAAACCAACCCCGAAGGTGCAAAAGACTATCAATAAGGTTCGTTCTTCGGCAGAACAGCAGAGCATCAAGAGCATTGAGCGGAACGCTGGTTTACGAAACGAGAGGAACCTTCGCGATTATCTGGAGGACTCCAAGGGGCTCACTGAAATTCACAAGCGATGCCTTGAAGCTCAGTGTATCTCCTTCACTTTGCCACCGATGGGTTCTACTGCCGGCAAGGTTTTGAAACACGCGACTTTCGAGGTCGAGAGACTTTTCAAAACACACGAGCCGCTAATCTTTAAGTTGGGCTACACCCACGACCCGGCATTTCGGTGGTCCAACGCCATATACGGCTACAAGAACGATCCTGCTCGATGGTCAAATATGGTGGTTCTGTTCGTTTCTCCAGAACCTTGTGGACCTGCGATGCTCGAAGCTTGCCTAATCGACAAGTTCGTCAGTCGTTTGGCTGCATATAGATCACCTATATAAGTTTTTAACTCGTGCTGTTTTCTATTTTCATGCAGAATGAATGAGAATCTGAACACAGTCGAGGTCGACAGGGTTGTCGAAACGTCAAATCTGGTGGTGACACAGTGGAAGCTTCCTCGCGCGACTCAGAAGATCGCTTCATGACATATATAGTGTACAGATCCTTTAAATATCCTCCTCATCGTGCCTCTGTATAGACCCACCATTCCGAATTTTACCGATAGGAGTCTTGTACAGTAAGAAGTTTCACGACTGAAAACAGGTGCTTCGCGAGCGCTCCGGGGAACGAGTGCTAGAAAAGTTTGGTTTGCAAGCCGTTCTGTTTGCCGTTTGCATTCATGTTTGTGCAACCTTGATCGTTCTGTTCGTTGCCCGATCCTTAATCAATTCGTGTCCGCCCAGGCCACTGCCAGATCGGCAATCCGGACTGCGAGAAACGTGGTCAAGGACGTTGGTTTGGAGAAGGCTCGTGGCATAGGCGGCTTGCTTCCGCTAGCGCGAATTTCGGAAAATCATAGCGAAAGGGATTCTCATTCCTTGCTTTCGAAGAAGCTCGGCCTCGCTTTGCCGATTCCTTTGTCAGAGACGCCGAGCGAAGAAAACGATGGAGAGCCGCCGAAGCGATTTCAAAGGCTTAGTATGGTGGACTGGGTTCGCTATTTCTGCAAGCACAATCATTGGCATGTTCTAGCAGGCCTACGCAAACCTGACAAAGTTCGTGAGGAGAAGATATGGAAGGCCTGGTGGGAACGGTATCGAATCCACGAGCCTTCACACCCCATTTTTGCAGCTGCTGATGCGAACAAAATAGATCTATGCAAGACCGCCGGGGTCCTTCTTCACGGGGACGAAGGGCGCGGCCGCCGCCGCGCCGCATTTTTTATCTTGAGTTTTCATTCAATCATTGGAAGGGGCACGCTTCAGTCCTTGGGAAAGACAAACAAGGTTTTGCATTCATCTACAAAAAAGACCCGGAAACCGTATCTGAAGATGAGCTTGAACTTTGTGGGGCATTCCTACACGAATCGATTTATCACCGCAGTACTTCCTCGAGCAGCTTATGGTGAATGCGACAGACATTTCTATGATGCGTTGTCCGCGGCCTATGGTGATGCAAAATATTTGGAGACCGTGGGCGTGGAAGATAGGCAAGGCGATCGACGCTGGTTGTGTCTCCTGAAGACAGTAGGTGATTGGCCGTTTTTGGCCAAGGCCGGGCGTTTGCAGAGAACATATGCCAACAGTATAAAACAAATCAACCAGGCAGCGGTGGGGGTTTGTCACCGCTGCGAAGCGGGGTTTCCTCATGCCCCGTTTGAGCAGATCGGAACAAGGCGGCCGGCATGGTTGCGTACAGTCAACGCTTCGTCGCCTTTTGCCGGCATGCCTTGGCCTCCAGCTGTTAAGGTTGTGGAGAACACGGAGCGCCTTGCCGAGCATTATGCATTCGACTTGTTTCATACATTTCATTTGGGAGTTGGCAAGTATTACGTGGGGAGCGTCTTGGCCATTCTATCAAATTTGGAAAGCGGAAATGTGGAGCAAAGATTCCAGCAGGTCACCGCCAAGTATCGGGAATGGTGTGGAAGGACCGGACACACTATGTTCGTTTCGAAACTGACGAAAGACTCGATTGCATGGGAGGCAACATCCGATTTTCCATGTGGAGGATGGTTTAAAGGTGACTTGACAACCACGCTTCTGGAGTGGATTGAAAGCCTCGAAGGCTCGGTGATGGATCCGTTGTTTGTTCTGTCAATGGATGCAACGAAATCCATAAACCTTTTCTTCCGGATTCTCTACTCGGAAGGTGTGTGGTTGTCCGTCGAAACAGCAGCGCGGACTGGGCAGCTCGCGAGCAAATTCCTACGACGCTACGAAGAGCTGGCGAAAAAAGCACACTCTGATCAATTGACTTTATTTGCGATGCCACCGAAATTGCACTCGCTTCATCACTTTGCCATCGACTTGCTCACCTCCGCAAATGCCAACCGCATGGCGTTGAACCCGCTCGCACTGAGTACTCAGATTTCCGAAGATCTGGTCGGGAGGCCTTCGAGGTTAAGCAGACGCGTCAGCTCTCGGCTTGTTGTGCAACGAACACTGGAACGTTATTTGCAGTCGTGCCATGCTAAGTGGGTCGCTGCAGGACTGCTCATCGAGACGGCGTCCAAGTGATGCGAGAAAACGATTGTGGTCGAGCGAGCATGCATCGGCATCAGATTCATTCAGGGTGCATTCCGAAAACATCCTTGCTTTCCGATTCTTTGTGAGCTTCTCTTAC